GCAAGATTTTTTTATCTTTTCTTTTTTAGACCAGATGAAAAGTTTCACATGAGAAACATTTTAAATTACTAATGAGAGGAAAAAATTGCTTGGCTTTTAGAGTAGTTTTTTTTTTCTAAGTCTTTAGTTCTCTCTGAAAAATTATGAACCAAAGTGGGAAATAAGTTGGAGTGAACTTAGAATGGATTTTAGAAAGCAAAACTTATACCATCACTTGGAAAGTGGTTTTTAAGCATTAATTTTACATATATTATTTGCAAACTCTCATGTCACTCAATTTGTTTCTTTTTTTCAATTTTGAATTTCTCCTAAATGTGTAATTACACAAGTGCAGTAATAAGTGAAATTAAAACATCACAGAGAACTCCAATATTTTTCTCTAACTGTAGCTTCAAAATTTGTTCTGACAAAATATAATTACCTAAGTGAGCATTGGTTATTGTTAGAAGGAATACACTATTGTGGAAACAGTCTTAAGCCAAAAGAATTGAATTCTGTTTCTGTGTTCTTCATTTTCTAGCAATAATGTCACAAATTAGTCACTTACTTTAAGACTTGGATTCTTCCATCTCTACAATGAACAATTGTATATTCTTAGTTTACCTTTCAGGATTGTTATAATAAGATGGAATATAAACCAATTAATTACAAATAAGACATTATACAATGAATTACAGTATGCCAAAAGTCATCTCTCCGCATAGGTGCCTGTGTATTTTTCTCCAGTCTGTAGTCTAGTAGAGTGTTTCTGAATATACTTTCTGTCCGACTCCCTGTCTATGTCAAAAGTAGTTCTTAGCACATGTGGATAGCATATTTCTAAAGTAATACGAATAATAAAATGAAATGAAAGCCTTTATAGGTCATATCTCTTGATAGCAATTTAACTGTTGATTCTGGGGTTTTTTAAAGATTAAAATTCAGCGTTTGTGGAAAGACATTTTGTCTTTTCACTGCTTTGTTTATAATTAATAAAGGACTGTCACTTTCTGGATCTCTATGTGCCAAGGCTATCTGGACTTGGATGTCACATTTTCCCTGGCAGCCCTTGTAAATACCACAGGCCTGCGCCCGGTGTTTGAGGAGGAAACATCAAGGACCCTCACGGGGTGTGATCTCCTTACGAGCGATTCTAGTCTTGCATGCCGAAGTCCAGGCCTCTTGCTAACACTTTAATTGCTAGACACAATTCATGTGCTCTATAGCTTTATGGAATGATGTACAAAATATTTAAGTTTAAAAAAACTCTTCTCAATAAAGTTAGGAGTAGATGGTGTGACTTCTTATCTCACTGAAATTCACTTAAATCAACACTTGTTATCCAGTGCACAGAATGGTAACATGTAAACAGCAAAGGACTTTTGAGTTTAACACTTGAGAGTAGGTTCTGAGTATTTTAACTGATCTTTTCTAAAAAGCACATCTGTTCTGCAAAAATCTTAAGTGGGTAGAACTGCATGTTTTATAAATTCTATTTAACACTGATGATTCTATGAACTCCAATCCTCTAGACAGGTTTGTTTTGGAAAAACAAACATTTTCTTGAAGTCTGTGTAAGCCATTTTTAATAACCCAGTTTCAGCCTGTATTACAGAGGGTCTGGAATGGGCCTTGGTCACTCTTGGAAAGTACTGTTTTTTTAGGTAGTTTGCTCAATTGAAATACAACTCTTTTATTATAATGTGTCATGGCAAAAAAAGAAAGATTATGAAAGACTCTATGCTCTATGAATATAACAGCTGTTGTATAAGCATTTCTGAAGAAAACACAGCACATACGTATGTATTTGACAAATATGTTTATATATTTGGTTTTCATGGAAAAAGCAATTTACAATTTGGCTTAGATACTTAATCATCATGCTCAGCATGTAACTTACAAATTTACTATCTGGATCAATAAATGCTGTTAGGTTGTGTAAAAAGAATTTAATATACTGTATTCTCAGGGTTTTGGAATGAATATAAGTGTGTGTATATACATATATATACACACATACACACACACATACACAATTTAAATAAACAATGTACAAAATATGTATATTCCCAAATTATTCTTCTCCCATAATGTAAGAGCAACAAAGAGAGCATTGTTTGACTGACAATTGGGCAATGATGCTATTTCTACACCAAGTATACCATCTGACATCTTTGCTGATCTTTCAATATGCTCAATTATCTGGACCTGTTCAATCTGCCCTGGCTTTTCCCTGTTGCTCATCCACTTAATCTGCTATCCCAGTGGTTCTCACCTTCACCTTTTCTCATCTATTTCTTTCTTAATTTTAATTCCCATCTCTATGTTGTTGTCAAGAATGGTGTTTCCATCTGCTGAAAACTACCTTCATCTTCCCTATTTTCATATGAATCATGTTTATTTAAAAGCGTTGCCATGCCAGTAATTCTAGTGCTTTGGAAGGCAGAGGTAGGATAATCACTTGAGTCCAGGAATTTGAGACCAGCTTGGGCAACAAAGGAGATTCCTTCTCTACAAAAACTTATTTTACAATTAAACAGGTGGGGTAGCATGTGCCTATGGTCCTGGCTCCTCAGGAAGCTGAGGCAAGATGATGTTTTGAGGCAAGGAGCTCAAGGCCACAGTGAGCCATGGTTGCACCACTGCCCTCCAGGCTGGACAATAGAGTGAGACCCTGTCTCCAAACAAATAAACCAATGGAAAGCACATTATGCCTGCTGTAGCCCACCCTGACCTCTCTCTTCTTTGAACTCTCATTGCATTTATAACAATGCCCAAGTGCTTAGAACTTCACCTGCTCGAATTTTTGTGTATTCTCATTTGCAACTGAAACCACATGAGATTTTAGGTCTTTTGGAGATAAGGACTTATGTTATATTTCTTTGAATTACTCTCAATCTGCTTTATGTATGACTGTCAGTCATTAAGAAACTTGCATAACTTGCACCCCTTCCCTTTTAGTAACAGTCATTGGGGCCTGATCCCTTGATCAGTAACTGGTTCCAGAATGGGCATGTGAACCAGATGGTCCAATCAGAGTAAGACAAAGGATTTTTCCCGGATGGTTAAGGAAAAGGAAACTTTCTCTTCTAAATGCTGTGGTATGCAGGGGTGATATGGCTCCGTGTCCCCACCCAAATCTCACCTCAAGTTATAATCCCCACATGTGAAGGAAGAGACCAGGTGGGAGGTGATCGGGTCATGCGGGCGGTTTCCCCATGCTGTTCTCATGATACAGACGGAGTTGTTATAAGATCTGATAGTTTAAAAGTGTTTGCCAGCTCTCCCCTTGCACTCTCTCCCCTGCTGCCTTGTGAAGATGTGCCTTGCTTCCCCTTCACCTTCCACCATGATTGCAGGTTTCCTGAGGCTTTCCCAGCCACAACCAGAACAGTGAGTTAATTAAACCTTTTTGTTTGTCAATTACTCAATCGCACGTGGTATTTTTATAGCAGTGTAAAAATGAGCTAATGTAGGGGATAAGGCTTGAAAACCTTGCAACCTTTTATCACCACTAGGGAAAGCACCCTGAAAAGATGCCATTGGAAAAAAGTTCATCAGACAAGAAAACAGCAGAGAAACTGAGCTGCTGGAGACCAAGTTTATCCACACACAAAGCCCCCTGCTACCTCTGGTCTCGTCAGTTTCTTGAGGCAATGCATTCTCTGTATTGTTTTAGCTATGCTATGTCAGGTCTGTGCGGTACTTGAAAATGATTCCATCCTAATGCATATTTATATATCTCCAGCAACAATTTTGAACTAAATAATTCCTAGGAGATATAATACAGAAGGATGCATACCATATTTTTATATTTGCTTAAGTGTTGAGTCTTACACTAAGAGAATACTATAGAACTTATTCTAGTGTCTCAGTCTTGTATTTGTGAGTCTACGTGTGTGAGAGAGAGAACAAGAAAGAGGAAATACTATGGTGAGTTGTGATTTATTATTATAAGATATGTTATCTGAGAAGTATTAACCCTATTCTAAGGAATAAAACAGTGGAGGCTAGTTTCTTAAATAATGCTCTTAAAATGACTTTTGAAAAATTCATATAATTAGATAATGATATTTAAATGAGGTTTTTGAATAATAATACCTATTTTTATGATTCTGTAAAGACTTTGGCTTAACAAACTATTTGCCTACTTATACATTTCTCCTGTATGAAAGAGAACAGGGGTTTTTATAAATAGTAGGCATGGCTGATAGGTAGTCATTTTCTTTGATTTCGGTTCCCCTGGAATGTGGGCAGCCAGCTCCAGGACGAACACTTTAGATTTTTATGAGTATAACACATTTTACAAAGGAAGTTAACAGAGTTGGCTTGAGGGAGGAAAATAAAAAAGAGACGAAAAGATGAATTCCAAATGTAGTTAACTGCTTCTGTAGTTGACTACTAAACATTGTTAGTATATTGCCCAAAAATCTAAGCTTTTGATGTCTTAAAATATAAAATGCTATTACACTAGGACATATTCTTAGGGCTTTTCATGGTAGACACAGGGCCTGGTTTAAATTTGGATCCTCAAAACTTTTTGAGAGTGCACAGATCTCTCAATGATTCTGGAACTGTTTTAAAGCTAGGGGAAGGTAATCAGAGCCCAGGAGTTTTGTTGCTTAGAAGTACTACCAAACCACTTCTAATGAGAGCGGCTGGATGGTGGCTGGATGGCACGATCTTGAATAAGAAACAGCTCAATAATCTTTTAAAAAAGCAAGACATGTGTCAACAAAAAGGAATTCTGGTTAAAGGAAAAATATGAATTTAGAAACACTACACTGAATTAATTGGCCCCATTCTTGATATTTATTTTGAGGTACCTTATATTATTATTGACTTACTCATTAATAATTATTTAATGAGGACCTATGTGTGCCAGATATTCCTCCAGGGACTGAGGATAAAAATCACTGTCCTTACTGAGATTGTGGTCCAGTAGGTGAGTCAGACAATAAAAAATATAAACATAATAAAACATAATGTATATTATCAACCACCAAAAGAAAAATATAAGAAGGGACTTTAAAGTGCTGGTGTGAATACAGGATGCCTGTTACTTTTAGAAAAGATGGCAAAGAAGCACCTGATTAAGAAAAGCTTCTGAATAAAGACTGGAGTGTGAGGAAACCAGCAGCTACATGTTTTGGCAAAAATCAGCATTTGAAGCAGAGGGAAGGGCATGTGCAAAGGCCTGGAGGCAAGAGCGACTTAGCTAACTAGGGAAAAACAGATTATTAGGACACGACGTAATAAGGGACCATAACTTCATTAAAGACATCATGAGTATCTTGGGATTTACTCTGAGTGAATCAGTAAGCCACAAAAAGTTTTCGTAATCAGTTGCTGTTTCACTGTGTGCAATCATTTTTATTATTATTATTTGAGATGAAGTGTTGCTCTGTCACCCAGGAGTGCAATGGCACGGTCTTGTCTCAGTGCAACCTCTGTCTCCTGGGCCCAAACGATTCTCCTGCCTCAGCCTCCCGAGTAGCTGGGATTACAGATGCATGCCACCATGCCTGGCTAGTAGAGACGGGGTTTCACCATGTTGGCCAGGCTGGTCTTGAACTCCTGACCTCATGATCTACCCGCCTTGGCCTCCCAAAATGCTGGTATTACAGGCATGAGCCACCACACCGGTCTTTAAATTATTTTTAACTTTTCTTTTTTTTCTCCCCTGTGGTGCCTTCTATTTTTAACTGGCAAGTCAAACTACCCCATTATTATCTCAGATAGTTCTCATGTTTTTCTTGATGTTTCTTTGCACAGCTTGTGGAATTCACAGCAGGTAATTTCTGAACCTTTCTCCCTCTCCCTTCCCCTCCCCTCCCCCTCTTCTTCCTTTCTCCCTTCTCTTATCCTCCCCCTTCTCTTTTCTCCTTGTCCTCCTTTCCCCTCACTTCCTCTTCTTCTTTTACTTCTTCTCCTAGTAAATATATTCTAGATACAGTCAGTCTTTCGAATCTTGAAGATAATACTGAAAGCAGCTCAGTAGCCCCATAGATAAGTTCCTTTGGATAAACATAGAAATTGACGTTTCTGGTCTTAAAGCTGGAAACTTATATTGGTTTCATCTGAGTTCCTTCCTCAGGCAACCACCTTCGGGCTTCTCAAAAAGTATCAAAGAATCGAAACTTGCCAGATCACCACATCCAGACGTGAGCATCGGGTGTCTCATTCACCGTGAGTGCTTCCCTGCCCCTTCCCAGTTCCTGTTTTCTTCCACATTGTGAAATTTCTTCCCGGCTATATAAGCCTGTAGTTTTAGTTGGTCATGGAGATGGATTTCAGAGTGAGCTTCCATCTCCTCAGTTGCAGCACCCCATTAAAGCCTTCTTCCTTGCCAATACTCACAACCTCAGTCATGGGCCTTCTGTGAAGCGAGTAGCAGGCCTAGACTGAACTCCTGGTGTTTCGATAACAATACTACTTTTGTTTTTCTGTAATAGATGGCAAAGTCTGAAAAGTCCATTTATTTTCCTCTGCACTCATTCCTGGAAAGGAGTGAGCTACTCAGAACTGGCATTAGCCTGTGCCCTGTACTGCACTCATGGTTCAGGCAAGTCCTGCTAGATGTACCTTATACCTCAACCTCAAGTTTAGAGCACTAAATCTGTCTATGCTTCCTTTGTGGTGTCTGTCAGCATTTGTCCAGGGCAATTCTGCAGGACCAAGCATGTTCTGCTATGAGTGCAGAATTGTCAAATATAGGCTGAATTTGAATTTTCAATTTCAAATGCAAAATTGTGTTTAACTCAGAATTATTATTTATTTCTTTATTTATTTTTTGAGACAGAGTCTCACTCTGTCACCCAGGCTGGAGGGCAGTGGCGTAGTCTTGGCTCACTGCAACTTCCGCCTTCCAGGCTCAAGCAGTTCTCCTTCCTCAGTCTCCCGAGTAGCTGGGACTGCAGGTGTACACCACCATGCCTGGCTAATTTTTGTATTTTTAGTAGATTCAGAGTTTCATCATATTGGCCAGGCTGGTCTTGAACTCCTGGCCTCATGTGATCTGCCCACCTTGGCCTCCCAAAGTGCTAGGATTACAGGCATGAGTCACTGTGCCCAGCCTCAATTCAGAATTATTCTACAATTCAGGGCTGTCAAGGCCACACATCATAGAAACATCCTAAAAATCAGGTTATGATTTTTTCTATTTCATTTTCATTTTATTATCTTTTGTGTGTGTGTTCTGAACTGTCTTCTTGAAATTTATTCTTCATGTATATTTTTGAACTGTTTTGCATTTGAAATATTTATAAAGCATTTATTACATATTCTGAAGTACATGTATAACTTTATAAACAAATGGGATAAAATACAGATTGATAAAAAAAGCTACCAGCTGACCATTATGTTAACCCATGTTAACTTAGAAAGCTCCTCTAATAATTTCCACTCAAAAAAGTAACCTTTAGATACGCTAGTTCACACTCATTAGTATGGATAAAAAAAGTCTAAAATCCCAAAAAGCTTTTGTGAATACAGAGCAAAAGGAACCCTCTGACCCTGCTGGTAGAACTGTAGTATAGTATAGTAATGACTACAGAAAACTGGCAGTTTCTTCTGAAGTTAATCAGATATTTACCTTATGACCCTGAAATTCCATTTCTAAGTACTAATCTTCAAAAAAAAATCAAAACACAGTACCACCGAATTACTCGTTTGAGACTGTTCACAACGGCTATATTTATAAACTTTCGTTTAAATTGGGTTGACCCAAAATACCTAAATAGGAGAGTATCTAAAAATAATAGCATTTCAGACAGCAGACAGTGGAACACTACTCAGGAATCCTGATAAATGCACCAACAGGGATGACTTTCAACGCACTGCCTTAAGTTTGCGATGCTAACTGAATGAAGGTAAGAATAAGAGAAACAAATCTTCAGTGATACAAATAAGATGTGATTGCCTTTGGGCCATGGGAGTTGACCAGCAGGGGGCATGAAGACGCTTTCTGGGACCTTGAAAACACCCTAGATCTTAATTGAGATGCTGATTACTTAAGTTTATATATTTATCAAAACTTACCAAAATCAACACTCAAGATCTGTGCAGATGAGGTATATAAATTTTACCTCAATAAGATCATTTTTTAAATTATAAATTTGATATTGCCATTTTGCTAAAATACATATGAATTGGTAATACTAAAACATTACCAAAGTTTGCAAATGAAGACTGTTCATTTTTATTTATTCACATTTGTTCATTTTAGCATAATATTCCAAATTAAAATAAAACCATTAAATATCAATATGCCATTTTATTGTCTTACTATTGGATTTTACTTTTTTTGTCAAAAGTGGTATTTTCAAGGGTATTAGAATATATTCATTTTAAGTGAAGGCCTTTTATTAATATTATTGTAAATATATAAATCATACATTATCATTAAAATATTATTATAATCCCAGCACTTTGGAAGGCCAAGGTGGGTGGATCACCTGAGGTTGGGAGTTCGAGACCAACCTGACCAACATGGAGAAAACCCATCTCTACTAAAAATACAAAATTAGCCAGGCATGGTGGTGCATGCCTGTAATCCCAGCTACTCAGGAGGCTGAGGCAGGAGAATCCCTTGAACCCAGGAGGTAGAGGTTGTGGTGAGTTGAGATCGTGCCATTACACTCTAGCCTAGGTGACAAGAGTTAAACTCCATCTCAAATATATATATATATTATTATAAATATATCTCCTAAATATAAATGTCATAATGAACACATCCCACTGATTTTTTACTTAAATTGTAATACTAACATTAATCAAGAAGGATCGCACATATTAACTATTGTATATATTTCTCTGTGATGTTAAAATGTGAAAGATACCACATTACATCAACACATCTCCGTTTAGTAGTGGTATTATTATGTTTTTTAAATTCCATTTAAAATTCACTATACTCGCAATTTGGTCTTCACTGTAATTTTGACCAAAACCTCAAGTTTCATGGCAGGTGACTGGGACCCAAAATGCTGTCTTACAAATTTATGAAACAAACTATTATTAACAGAAAGTGAAAGAATGATTTCACTTTACCAAGACCTGTTCTCATCTATATTCTTTCATTGCCCACAAGTGCAGTATGATTGATAGAACCATTTGTTGTGAAATACTGATTAGCCTTTAAGGAAAAAAAAGGCTAAGGTTACAAGACCTTATTTTCCATTAAAACACATAATTCTAATGTCAACGGTTTTATATTCAAGGAAAGAACAAGCTTTTTCTTGGAGAGCTAATGATAATACAATAATACCTATTGTTATTGAAATTATTTTATATATGATAATTTTAATTGCCCAGGTAGTTTTTAAATGCACATTTCTAAATTCTCAGTAAAAATGAAATCAACTGGAAAAAAAATGACAGTAAAAATGTAAAAAGGAGAAGCAATATAGAAAGAAGCAAGATGTGATAAATAAGATGTTTTTCAAATTCAGATGATATTACAATATATATGTGATTACCAAATTTCAAATTAATTGCCACACCCACAAAAGCAAGCCTTTAAACTTTAACCAGTGGGTTTTGTCACCTTTAAAGAAAACCCCCGTTAGCTTTAATGCCGATATTACCACTCAGTTTCCTCTGCTAAAGGGCATTCAAAACTAACAGACTATAGAAAGCCCAAAGTCCAATGTTTGGATGCTTTCGGCATTGCCAAATCTAGCATGTTTTATTTAAACTGAGTGTCATGTATTTTTTAAGGTCTGTATTCATGGACAGGGCCAAACTATGTGCCCTATTTACATTTAAATTGCACATACATTTGATTTCCTATAGTTCCAGCAATGGCTATCACCTTTTAATAGAGTATTTCTACCTTGTTAGTGACTGATATTTGCAGTGAATAATTTTATCTGAGAATGTTTAGTTTCTCACACTTTACCAATAAATAGTCCCAATTTATGAAATAACACTTGGACTTTTTGAGAATATTATGCACTGTTTATCACAAATATCTTCCCACTTTAACTTCACATCAAGTAATATAGGAAGGAAAGACAACTGAAAGTAAAGT